GCTGGGGCGCTGCAGGGTCCCGAAGAAGTTTGTTGGCCCGGAACCAAGCATGTCGCCTCCGCTGGGCGCACCAGCTCCTCCAGGACAGGCGGGCGTGTAAGCAAAACCTGCCCCGCGCAGGACACTGAGGGCGGGAGGGAGCAGGCAGTCGCGGGGCAGGTGAGCTGGTGGACAGGCCAGGTTAAGGGAGCCTCGGAGAGACACTGATTTGGGAGAGGGTGGACAGGGTGTGGGAACACAGTGCTAGCCTCATGGGGCAGTAGCTGGGGGCGGGGGGGGGCGTGTCAAAAAGATCCTGAAAATGCCTAGAGTTTTCATGGAACCATCGAGGAATTGCAGCGGGGAGTGACCATGAGCCACAGCTTGAAGTTGGGAAATGGAAGGGTAAAGGGAAACATTGTGCTGCCTCCTGCCACCCCCCAATTCCAAGACGTCTTGGTCCCATCTGCTTGGAGGGAAGTCTGTGGAGCAGCAAGATGAGAGGATGGTCAGGAAGCTCAAGAGGAACGTCTATCAGCCTGATAATGGAGGGCATGAAATGCTCCCTGCCTCCCCCCTCCCCCCCAACACCTGCCCTCCACCATAACCAAAAACAAAGAGACAGAGACAGAGAGCGCACGCAAGGGTGTTGCTTATTCTGCTCAAATCAAGCACTACTGTAGTTCTTTAAGGGGTCCTTAAAACCTGCTCTGTTCAAGTGTGTGATCTTCTCGCATCCCCTGGCTGGTGCGTGGTGAGAAAACTCTAGGACCCTCTCTAAGTGCAGATCTTTGATATGTGCCTGCAAAGGAGGAGCTGGGAGGTTCCATCGTTCAGATGGTGCAAAACACCCCTAAAAGCCTATTTTTGAGGAGAGCTGACAGGATTCTCTGAGTGGGAATATTTGTCTTGAGTGGCAAAAAGGAAGGGTGATCCCCAGGGGTGGAAAGATTCATTCTCTCCCCAGGGGATAGAAAATGGAGAAAGTAACTGGTAGGTGCTTCCATGAGGCTTTGTCCAGACTGATTTCTCAAACTGGTAGGGAGTCTAAGCAGCCTTTCCTGGGAAAGGAGGGTGAAGATGAGCAATAGAGCAAGGAGGTGAGCCTGAACCTGACAGGAACAGGTCAGAGAAAGAGCAAGAAGGTGAAAGAAAATCAAATGTGATTCTTATCACAGTTTGGACACTATCTCTGTATCTGAATCATCACCCAAGGAAACCATCTAAAACAGATGGGAGCCCATGATATTCTCCAGAAATGGAAATTTTCCATCTACTTTCTGGTCTTCCAGTTTAATCTCTCCTGCTGCAGTTTTAGTTCATCCCTCCCCACCATCCCCCCAGAAAAAAATGCCCGGTGGGTGGGTACACAGAGTATCCGTTTTAGAGGCAGGAGAAGATATGGGGGCATTGTATTGCTAATTGGTGTCATATCTACGATTCAAGAGAAGAATGCAAAATAAACAGAAATAAAAACTAGCAGAACTTAAAGAGATGCAAATATATAACCTGGAAAGGATGCTGGAAAAAATAGAATGAATGTGACTGAGTTGGATTATTTAAGGCAGGCCATGTTGAGGACGTATATCTTAAAGAGGCAGAGAATAACAAGGCGTAGCAGAAGAGAGCAAGAGGGAGGACATTCCAGCCAGAAGGAATGGCATGTGTGAAGGCTTAGAGGTGGGAGTGAGTAGTCATGTGCCTGGTAAGGCAGAGAATCCAAACTGGGGTGAAACCTGAGATGAAGAAAGCAGATAGCACCTGCCAAGGAGAGATTGGAGAGGAGAGGCTAAGAGGCAAGGGGCTCTTTAGGGTGTTATTTTATAGGCAAGTGGCGAGATAATCAGGTAAGGAAATTGCCCATTGAATTTGTAACTTGATGGAAAGATGTTGAATGCAAGAGTGAAACAATAGGTCTGTCTTATCTATGCATCAGGTTTGTGATCTCTCTCTCTTTGAGAAAAATCAGATAAAACTCACTAGATTGTAAGATTATTCGATCAGAAAGCTAGTAGAGCCCTTCAAATGGAACAATTAGAAAAAGTTAATAAAGTGGGAAAAATATATATGTAAGATTATTCGATCAGAAAGCTAGTAGAGCCCTTCAAGTGGAACAATTAGAAAAAGTTAATAAAGTGGGAAAAAATATATATATAAATTTAAAAGTTTAAGTGGCAGTGGATTATTGACATAGATATATCTGTGGAAATGGAGCTAAAGAATTGAAATCTGAAAAAAATGTAGGTCAGTCGTGAAGGTTGAGATTGAGAATAGTTTACGTATAGGATAGAGAGGATGTATTAAGCATGCTCAAGGGGAACCTGAAGTTAGATAGGAAGCAGGCACTAGTTTTGAAGTGACAGGAGAAATAACATGGAACTCTGAGAAAAGGTGATAAAGTTGACAAATTTTAGAGGAGTAGAAACGTTCAGAACCAAGGAATATATTTTCTGTGAAGAAGAGAACAACCTTGACAATATATTATTGTCCCCAAAAGAACTGAAATTGCATGCACTGATCCTTTTAGTAATTTTCCTATATTTTTCTGTAATTTTTTACTTCATCCATACCTTATCTAGATATATTACTCAACAGTTCCAACCTTTCATTTGTTTAATTTTAGTACAAAGGTATTGCTTCAGATTATTTTGATCCCACAAATTGAACAAATGAGTACCTACTAAATGCCAAGTTTAAACAAAACCCAAACTGATAAGTTGCAATTATTTTTCTCCAAGATGTTGACTATTGATAGGAGACAGAACATACATAAATTGTTACAATGCAACATAGACAATGGGTACTAAGCTCTGTTGGCTCTCAAGGCAGTGAGTAACAAACTCCATATCCGATGGTTCTTGCAGACTTCTTCCACATTTGCACTGCACGTGGAAGGCAGAGTAAATGTTCACCAGATGGAGAGAGAATTAGAAGGACATTCCAGCAGCCAAAGCAGTATGTGCAGAAGCCTGGCACATTTGAGGAATTGTAAATAATTTGATGGAGTAGAGGTCATTTGGAAGGAGGAGCAGGGCATGAGACTGGACTGATGAGTTGAGGCCCTGCTGTCAAAGAGCCTTGAGCACCTCTCTGAGGATTGGGCAGTGCAAAGCCACCAAGAGACTTCAGCAAAGCAGAACACTAATGTGATTAAAGTTTTGGTTTAGAAATGGAATTATTTAGCAGTAGGAGATGCAGTTAAGGGGAGCCTGACTATTGCGGCAGCTGGGGGAAGGAAGGCCTACTCTTGCTCGAATTTCGTGCATTGGGCCTCTAGTATTTTATAAAACAACTGAAGGAAAGGAGTCTAGTTAGGAGCCTATTGCACTTTTTCAGATTAGAAATGGTAAGGACATGAACTAGGACAGTTTTTGTGAGGATGAGGAAGTTGGTATGGATTCTAAAGACATTTTAAAAGTAGATTTGATAAACTTTGAAATTTGATATGGAGGGTAGAGAATGGGTTGAAGACGATTTTGAAATTTCTGATTTAGGCTCCTAAGTTAATGATGATGCCTGTAATTGAAATATGAAGGTCAAGAGGTATCTGTAGAATATAAAGAGGGCAGAAACTTTGCCTAAGCTGCAAAGGAATTCCCAAAGTAACCTGTTTCATTACTACAGTCAATGAAAAGTATCGTGAAATAATGCTAAATCTAGTTCTAAACTTAGAGGGTATTTGTCCTATTATTGGCTTGGAGTTTTAACTCTATAGGTATAGCTTTGCAGTCAGTTTTATCCAATAGTCTATAGACTCTAGTATAGCTTCATGAAAGATAGATTCTAAAAGTATCGTGAAATAATGCTAAATCTAGTTCTAAACATAGAGGTGTTTGTCCTATTATTGGCTTGGATTTTTAACTCTATAGGTATAACTTTGCAGTTGGTTTTCTCCAATAGTCTATAGACTTTAGTATAGCTTCATGAAAGATAGATTCGAAAGATT